GTCTCCCACCAAACATGCCGCCTCTTTTTCTCCCGCCTGCAAACATGCCTGGCACACATCCGCACACCCTCGGAGTCCTCCCAGGAAGCTCCCTCAGCTCCTCTGGTCCTTGCGCTCGGATGGCTATTTTTCTGGGTCTCTTTTCCGTTTCCCATCCTCCACTCCTCCACGAATCATACACACACCCCCACTCCCTCTACCCCCCCACGCCTGCCTTTCCCCCTGCTATTCCTGCCTAATTTCTCGTTCCTTCTCTTCTGTCTGGTTTTATCCCTGTCCCACAGATCTGGATTGCCTCAGCTCACCCTCTCCCTTCTGAGGCTCTCTGTGTCGGATCTTTGCTCCTCAGTGGGTGCAAAGGCATCGAAGACCACCAAGCTCAACCTCATTACCATCCCAAATGCCCACGGTCCCTTCCTGTCCCCAGGGGAAGCAGCATTGTTTACCTAGGCTAAGCGCACGCTGTGACACCCCAGCCGAAAGCTATACTGCTGGGTCTTCACTATCTCCCAAGTCCTGTCTTAGCATCCCTTGTAAAATGTATGGGGCATAATGTATCAAGGTGGGCAATCCCCCAAACTTCTCACTTCCAATAGTGCACTGAACAAAGGGTCTCCGGCAAACCCCCTAACTTGGGTTTCCTGGATAATAGAAATAATTCCGCCCGCCCTCTCCCATTTGCTATACGGCCCCAAAGGGAAAGTGATTTTTCAAAAAATCAAAACTGTAAAGTGCTGCACATTTCTATCAGAGTGAGATAAAGGGGCCCTAAGGCCTGGGAGAACACAAGAAGGAAAGGAGAGGGCTAGAGAAGTCACCAGTCCGATCCATGGGAGCGGGATAAAGAGCTCCCATGCGTGGCATTATCCACAACCTCCTCACGGGAGTCCGTGCGAGATCTGTGCAGCCTCCCGGACTGACCGGGTTCAGAGGTCCACCTGGCTTGCTCCTCCTTACCGCCACCTGGCCAGGCATGGCTGGGTGTACCCTATCCCTGTGGTCTGGCACCATACAACCAAGAGCCCGCTGCTCAGGGTGCCTCCATTCATCGCCTCACCCCCATTTCCGGGGGCCGGGGGCTAGACTGGAGGGAAGTACCACAGTTCCTAGATCCTCCCTTCCCACGGTGGGAGGCAGAAGGGAAGGGAAGCGGCCAGGGGTGACCTGACCGACCGACCGTTGCTGTCAGGATCAATAGCAGCGACTGTGACCCCATGGCTCCGGTCCTTGGGCAGAAAGAGTCACTGGGGACCAGACAGCCAGAGGGATGAAAGCAGTAGGGGAAAATGGCTGGCAGACCTTTCCATCCCCCACGGTAGTACTGGGTCACTCCCCTCGGGCGAATGAATCCTCAAGGCACTTCCCAGGAGAAATCTGAGCAGGAAATTTGCTCCCCGGGTCCTTTGCTGAGCAAGCCTCCAGTTGGGTGGGAAACTGGCAACCTAGGAGCCTCCCAGCCTTCTGGCTAGAAAGTAACTGTCCCTGGGTCTTGGTGAGGGTCTTTCTGACTTGGAGGTTGTTGGCTAGGGCAGCGCTGGTGTACTTGAACAACAAGACAGAAAGCGTGGCAGCAGGGTGATGAAGGGTGGTGCTCTCCCCTGAACGCGAACACTGTGTGAATGAAATCTGAGCTCAGCGGCTTCGGGACGGTGACTCTTTTTCTCTCCATGTCTCTGCCACTACTAAGTATTAAAATAAAAGCTCAGTGGAAACGAAAAAGTATTAATTGAGTGTGCTGTCATTGTGGAGGCATTACATCTGGACTTTCAACATAGACTCAGGAGCCACGAGGTGCGCCTTGCCTTGCCTACCACGACCCCAGTTGTTACACGACGGTTGCTTCCCTCGGACCTGTTAGCTGCGCCATCTGGACACCACGACAAGCCGAGTCCCGATGCCCTAGAGCTGTTTCTGACCTGCCCCCCAATTCCCCACCTGCAAGGAGACTCCCTCTTTCCCCAGCGTTGATGTTAAGAGGTCTCTACACCCTGCAGACGGACTTAGCCACTTCCTCCTGCCCACCCAGAGGGAGGCGGCGGGCCTTGGCTTCGGGACCTGCAGCCTAGCCGAGTCCTTCCAGCTGTCGCCCCATAGATTCCCGCCGATCACTCCCCCCTCCTTCCCCTCTCTGTTTTGCATGAGAAGCCCAGCTGGGGGAGGGGGCTGGAGGGGGGGGCCGGGCCACCCCGGACTGGGACAGCAGTAGATTCCTGAAAGGGACCGTTGGAAGGAGGGCCTGAGCTGCTAGAACCTAGACAGTTGGGGGTGGGGAGTGTGGGGATTAGCCCCTGCCGGCAGGCCTTACCACGCTGCAGACTGTGGAACCCGACGATGACGATGGAATCCCGGCAGGAGATCAGGCATTCCATCCCGCAGCGCAACGCGCTTAGCTCCGTCCGGGGTGCCCAAATCCAAGTAGTGGTCCGCAAAAAGAGCGCACAGCCTAATTTAAGCCCGCGGAGCCCGCTCACTGGGTTGGAAACGCGCCCTCCCCATCCCCTTCTGTTCTCTGGGGCCTGGGAGAGCCCCTTCGAGAGCTTGGCGTAGTATTTGTAGTCGTTGTCGGAGGAGAGCGAAGAAGGCGTTACCGGTCCGGAACCCAGAGGTCAGGGAAGGGCCGAGAGCCAAAGAGTTACGATTTCCAATAAAAATGTGATGCGGGCAGCAAGATGGGGACTGTAGGTGGGCCTCCGGGTGGCAGGAAAGGGCATAGGGTTCCACAGAGCACTCGCAAATTCGCTGTAGCGACGTCCGGGTTCGTCCGAAGAGGGTATTCCATTTGGCTGAGAGCTGGAGTCATTGCCGAACCAGGGTCGGTACAATGGAGTTTCTGGGCATTTTTCCTAATTTAATCGGGGTCCTGTGTGTGTGCCTGAGCCCCATACCACGAGTGGCCTCGAAAATTCAATGCCAAAATTACCTGCAAGACCTGGAGTGTTTTTTTTGCCCACGCAGATTTCTTTCCACGTTAGGGTCTCCCTGCGCCTTCCTAACGCTCTCCGCCTCCCTGCCCCACTCACAACAAAAAAGTAGAGCAAAAACGCAGGGCCACCCAGCCTTGCTGTCTTCAGACCCACCTCGGGGAACATCCATAGAAAAGGTGCCACCCAAACGGAATTTGGGGTTTGACTCGCGAGCGCGGGAGAACTAGAGCGTCTCTTGAAGGATGTGGTTTTCAGTTCTCGGCCTCAACTCCCCACCCCATCGGGGAAAATTCTCCCGGGTGGGCAGTAATTCCGAGTGTACACCCTGCTCCCCGAGGAGTGGACTATGGAGGGAGTGGTCTGTGGTTGTCAGGGGAACCTGGTGCCCGCCCATTCTGGAAACCCGAGAATTGGAGCGCCGGGTCCACAGCCGGGGAGGCGCACTCCCAAACCCACAGCCGGATCTCTGCGGCGTCCCCCCACCCCCACCCCCAGAGACCTCACGGCCTTCTCCCTCCCCCTTTCGCCCCCAGGAGCACCCCTCTCGCTCTGCCGGTTTCCCTCTAGACGTTTGTTTTTGTAGGTAAAAAGTGTTTTCGGATCACAGTTTTCTCAAACTTCTCGCCTAGGTTGC